AGGCAGAAATTTTTCCCCAAAAAAATCAGCTAAGACATTTTTTTTTACAAGCTTTTATTTAACTCACTTCCTCTGTCTGTCTTGACGGAAACGCAGGAGTGAAAATTCGGACAGTTCTACTAGACCGATACGATTCAAAGTTAGCACGTGGGTCAAGACATGAAGACAATGCAATCTGAAACTAAATTTGACTTAATTGGATGCCTAATTAATTTTTTATTAATTAATTAAAATTTGGACCGAATTAGTAGGCATGTCTAGCCAACCACACCACACGCGTCATCACCTTCAATAGCTGCGCCATCACGTAATGGCTGCGTTCAAAAACCATTGCGCGCCTACTGAACGTGATGTTCAGTAGGCGCGCAATGGTTTTTAGTCATGTAACTCTATTGTAAATAAAACATGTAAAGTACTGAAAAAAAAATTCATAAAAAACGTTTTAATAACAAGCTTTTATGTAATGATGCACTAAAAAGTAGAAAATAAATTATAGACTACTATTTAAATAACTATAAAGAAAAGCGTGGGTGTCTTCCTTAACATTAGTAAAGGTATCCAATAGATACTAAAGTGACCCACGCTTTTCTTTATAGTTATTTAAATAGTAGTCTATAATTTATTTTCTACTTTTTAGTGCATCATTACATAAAAGCTTGTTATTAAAACGTTTTTTATGAATTTTTTTAATCTTCCTTAGACAAATGATTCAAGATTACGCATGCGCGATTTTTTTTAATAGATTTACAAAAAAAAATATTATTTTCTTAAAGATTTAAAAAAGAAAACAAATAATTCAATATTTTCTCCACGTGTTTCGCACCAGTATGCAGGGGGTGAAAGGTAGACCTTGGCACATTGAGGTGACGGGCTGGGGGGAGGCGACTCCGCAGAGAGAAAAAAATAATTCAAATTAAAAGTCTGCAAAGCGTTTCTTATCATTCCGGCGGAGAGATCAAAAGAAAAGTAAAAGATTTTCTGAGTGACACCAGATGGTCTGAGGAGAAGTTTATAGCTTATCATTATTCCTTTCTGCCATCTTCGTATATTTTTTTTTTAAATTCAAACATCTTGATTTTTTAAAAAAAACAACAGTCACAACCTTACGTTTACTGTGATTTTTAAAAAAAGTTTTTTTTTTTTAAAAAAATGATGTGTTTTTAATACTCAACTCTGTATAAATGTATAAAGATTAATTAGCTAGCTTTTTTTTAAAACAAAAGTTTTTAGTTTAAAGAAGTTTAAAACGTGGATTATCACAAAGGGGGGATTAACTGATCAGAACTGACGCAATGTGTATCTTGTGCTTTTTATGCAACATTCAATGTCAATTTTCTTTTTTGTTTAAACTTCAATGTAAGTTTTAAGATTATAAAATCGCTTCAAACTTATTTTCTTAATTTATAAGTTTAAAGACAGAAATTATTTTTTTAGATTTATTTTTAAAACAAATGAATTGATACAACTATTTAGCTAAACAGCACCCCCACTCCCACCCTACCCCCTGTATATTGAGTTCTAACCAGTCGCGAGCCCGTGCTTGATACGTCACTGGTACAACCGGAAGGGGCGGGGCGGCTCGCCGGCACTAAGCTCCGGATCCGGTTCTGGCAACCTCTTTTAAATTATTCATAGCCGTCGTGGATGTGGGGGGGGGGGGGGTGGGGGGAGATAGACGGCATCGACGTTGGGTCGACTCTGGGTACACAGGTAAACCAGATGGGGGTGGGGGAGGGGGGTGGGGGGTCATGTATGAGTGGAGGTAAGGGTTAGGTTTAACATATGGCGCAGGATCGAGAAGTTTAATGACAGGCGTTTTACACGCGTTAAGGTAAGCGTGTTGATGGGGGGGGGGGGTGCGGGGCTTAAAGGGAAGAAATTAGGTTAATTAAATGTTAGGGTCGATAGAGGTATCGGGAAACTTAACTATAAGACTTGTGTTTTTTTGTTTTTTTGTTTGTTTGTTTTTTTTGGGGGGGGGGGGGGGATTTGACTTTTAGGAAAAGAAAATTTGACATAGTTTGTGACTTTTGAGAATATTTTTTTTTAATTTCTGAAAACACATTTGTGGTTTTGTGAACAGACATTGTAGCTTAATAACAAAAACAATTAGTTTAGAACTTTGTATACAATGGTACTACCGCTTTAGGACTTTGGTGGTATATACTTTGTGACGCTAACGATAGTGGTAGGCCTATTCAGTTACTGGCTTAAAATAGAATGCTATTCAGTTGTAGTGGTAGTAGTTTTTACTTAATGACTTTAAAGAGGATTCTATTGACTTTATGAGTGCAAGGATATTGGCAGTGGTATTCAGTTAATGATTAAATACAATGCTATTCATTTTGTGACTTTAAGGAAAGTGGTATTCACTTTGTGACTTTAAAGCTAGTAATATTAACTGATTTTAAACAAAAGGCCATTGACTTAGTGACGTTAAGGATAGTGGTAGTGGTATTCACTTCATGACTTTATTGAATGACATTTACTTTGTGACTTTAAGATTGCGATAGCGTCATTCCCTTAATTTCGAAATAGAATGCTATTCATTTTGTGACTTTAAGGAAAGTGGTGCTCACTGTGTGACTTTAAAGTTATTTATATTCACTGACTTTAAACGGAATGCCAATGACTTTATGACTTTAAGGATAGTGGTATTCACTTAATGACTAAATTGTGACTTTAAAGTTAGTTATATTCACTGACTTTAAACAAAATACAATTGACTTTTTGACGTTAAGAATAAATGGTAGTGGTATTCACTTAACTACTTTATTGAATGCCATTTACTAAGATTGTAGTAGCGGCATTCATTTAAATGACTAAATAGCTTTTTTTTTTTAGACTTTAAGGAAAGTGGTGTTTACTTAATGACTTTAAACTTAGTTATATTCACTGACTTTAAACGAAATGCCATTGACTTTATAACTTTAAGGATAGTGGTATTCACTTAACGACTCTAAAACAGAATGCCTCTGACTAGCGAGGGGTGAGAGGGGAGGGAGGGGGGGCAGGGCCGGCATCGGGCCCGCGTTCTGCAGCGCGTGGACCCATCGATGCAGGCTGAGATGAAAGACGGCAGATCACCGGCTCATAATGAGATGAAATCACGTTACACGTTTTCAACCCATCGCCCCCCTCCTCCTCTCTCCATCTCTCTCTCTCACACCCAGCCCCGCCCCTCTCCTAGAAAAAAATTTACGAAAACTCGCTGAACGTGAGTACATTTTAACCCTCCCCCCATTTTTTAACCCCTCACCTCCCCCCTTTTTTTTTTCAACCGACGAAACAAAATAAAATATAAAAAGAAAGAACACCGGTCTCGCCAACTCAAGGAAAATTTTCGTCTCAATTATCACGACTCTCACTCGATGCTGTCACTAGCACCGTATTATTTTGATGAGCGGCCGTGCGGCTTTGTCTTAAGACAGTTTGGGGGTGCATCTTATTTCACCTGCTGTGGTCACGGTGTGGACGCTGTGCTGTAGCGCCCGCCCAGCGGTTTGATCGTACAACGAGCAGGAAGTTGCGCTGCGGACAGGGAAAAAAAAACATCTGATAATCGGGAATTCGTGGACGCTTTTCTTGGAGGTTTTTCTGTGAACGGATATACTATGTATGCGGAAGCTGTTGTTTTTCTATAACTAGTTAATCGTTTAGTGGTATTTACTTAAACAAGTGAAAAGGAATATTCTTGTTCAAGGCTAACTATTTAAAACAAAAATACTAGATCGAGATCTAGCAGTAAATTCTTAAAGTAGTTTTTTTTTTAATTTTGACAAATTCTTTTTAATTCAAAAAATGGTTTTAAATATATGATAATTAGATGAAGTAACTTTCGAGAATATTTATCAGAAGTGGTACTAAAAATTAAAATACTTACTTTTATTTTAGTGAACAATGAACTAATTAACTGGTTGATTACTTCATTTTGATTAACATTTTCTTGACAATCCTCTCTTAAATACATATGTTGTTCTTTATAGTTCTCAAACATTAGCACTAGTAATGATTTCCTAAACGTTAATATTTTTAAAAACATTATTATAAACCTGACACTAATTGGGATTTTTATTAATAGTAAAAATAAATAATTTTTAAAATGTGCACTTTATTTTACAGCAATAAAATTATTCTAGTTACTAATTAATCTTATGCTTTAAGTTTATATCCAAGAAAACTTTTTAAAATGTGTATACAACGGAATTTTATAAAATGATTAAAAACTGAAAATATTGAATACCAAAATAAACTATAGTGACTATTAACCCTATGCGACGTGTTACCTAACAATAGAGAACTGTTGAAAAAAATCTGGTAACTTTGAAATGGAGCGGAGCATTGACGTATTTGGCGGGAGATTGTCGCATCCTCCCGTAGGTTCTAACTATAGAAATAAACATGTGATTTGTATTATGTGATAAGTACACGAATCCATACTAAATGATGGCTGTGATTGTTAAAAGTGTATGAGTAATTTAAAGAAAACAATGGGAAAAACGGCGGCTGTGATTTCAATATTTCCGGGATCTCTTAGGTTGGGTTGATAAAACGATGATTAAAAACAAAGGCTGTGAATTTAAAGAATAAAAATATTTCGAGATTTCTAAGTTATGGTATTAGATCTGAAACGGCTGTGATTTTTTAATATATAAAAAGACGTTTAGAGATTTCTAAGCTAGAATAGTTTTATCGGAAACAACGGCTGTGATTATTTTAATAAAGAAAGATGTTTTGGGCTCTCTAAGCCAACCATGAGTAGAAACTACATCGGTCTCGGCGGGGCCAACTGTGTCTCTGCGGCCACCGCGGCCACCATGGCCTGGTGCAACACCCGGGGCCACCTGAGCGGCCATAGTGTCCGCCTCAGCATGAACGACCTGTACTCCGGCTTATTCCGACTCCGAGACACGATATCCCGTGAGATGCCGGGCCGGGAGAGACCCCCACGGGACTGCCGGCTGAGTGTGACTAGCAAACCATCTTTGTTACTTCTCCAGGCCATTAGATGTACCCATCCTGCCTGTCCCTGTGAGTGCTTCGCCCCTGGGAAACAGAGCCTGCGCTACTGTGAGACGTGCAGTCACGGCTGGGTCGCCCATGGTGAGTAATTAATTAATTTTTTAATTAGTACATACATTGAACACTATCTTGTAAGACTACACATCAACATACACTACAGTCCACAGGTTAACCCAGTAGGAATTGACGACAGCAGTGTTGGTTTTGATTAATCTTTTTTTTTAATATTATACAATGCTAGTTAACAACTAATTATGATTATAGCACGTATGGGTGTATATCAAGTCTTTCCACTAATTTTATGTCCTCTACTTTTGTGTCCTATATTGTATTTGTCCAATGGTTTTTGTATCCGGAAGTTTTTGTGTCCTATACTTTTTTTGTGCTTGTATTTCTTTCTCCTTTAGTTTGGTATCCCATGGTTTTTCTCTCTTCTAGTTTTTGTGTCTTTTAATTTCTGTCCTCTACTGTTTGTGTTCTTAAATCTGTGTCCTGTGGTTGTGTCTTAGTTTCTATGGTACCGAGTGTCATGTAAAAATGCATACCTTCATCCATACTAGCAGATCAAAGAGCTATACATAATATTTAAATATATATCGTAAAAATCTACATAATACAATTAGCGGACAATTAATTAATGGCAGCTATGTTAGTGTTGACATAAACACACACATCTCAAACAAATAATTTACGTATACGAAGATACAACTTTGCATAGTTTATATGTTTATGTTTACTTAGATCGAACTTAAACTTGCTAGAAAATGATTTAAAAAGTGCTGAAGAAGCTCTATGATATAACTACAACAGAACTAACTTAGAACTAAGGAAGGACACACGTAGAACATATATTACACAGGATTGGTTCTTGAATGTGTTTCTTACATTTTAAAAAGTCTATTTAACACAATCCGCTCCTCAAAAGGTACAATTTGTTTTCACGATTTAATCATATCGGCTTACAACAAACAATTGTCTAAAAATGAGTCTTTTCTTTCTTAAAGGCTTACAGTACATAATTTAGATATTGTCTGCTTTACTCTATCGCGTTAAATATTTTATGATTTAAAATGGAATACACACCTCATAATATATACATCATTTTCGAACTAATTAACACTATTAAATGGAAAGTACATACAAAGTAAAATAGGTTGCTTTAATTAACTAGTTTTATTTATAAACTTGTATTGAAGTCCATGACACACATTTCTCTACATTAGTATAGGACCGATTAAATTATCAACCTACTACATCTCCATCGTCGTTACAATCCACCTCCCCCCCGGCTCTACATCCCATTGAGGGCTTTTGTCTGCTTCACCACCTTCTTCCCCTCCGACATCTGCTGTCGTCTGCTGTCTTTCATGCCTGAACTGGAGGTTAGCATTGGGTTGTCTGCATACCATACACCATTGGCCAGCCTTTGGTAGTCGCCCTTTTGTTTGTTTTATAACTGATCAATGTACAGATAGATAATAACATTTGCAAATTTAACCTGTAGAGACAGTCGAGCTGTATTTATCTTATCGTGTAAAGAAAAGATACCTTTTCGAAAATAGTGCTCCATAAGGCAGATGAAGTAGAGTTCACCTGTTTCTTTGACCTCGCCATATAAAGGAATCGTCTGGTCTGCACTATGCCCAGTCGCTTTTTCTTTGACTAATTTGAGTCAGGTACTTTTTAGAGCTGGGTCGACTCAGGTACGTTCTACGGACTGGAGCAATACAGACTCGAGACTTTCATGTAATGTAATTATATTGCATCGATACAAACCCCAATAATTGTGTCCGACAAAGCTTAAGCAGACCTTCTAGCTCAGATAGTTTTAATATGCTCTTCGCTATACCATACTAGAACCTCAAACACGTATAACCCAACTATAAGCGCTTTGTATATCAAAAATGTTATATCCGAGTCAGAGAAGAACAGGGTATATTATTTACAATCTCTTTAAAGGGAAAGAACTCTTGTTATTCTTTCGTATTTTTTTTTTACCGGCATCCGAGTATTAAATGTGTCTTTAATTACAGGTAGAATTGTGAGTCCTATTTACGATTTGAACTGTGATTTCATCCCTTAATCCCCACCTCCTGTCAAAATATCCTTCACTTAACGCACAACTCCCCACCCCTACCCATTTACATGCCCCGCCCCTTTATTCAATTAATTGCCCACATTAACAGTTTACGTGCGTCAAAAAAAAGCATGTGCTATATTTTCGGTAAATTGATCTCGTTGAACAAATAAAATTCTCAAATTAACCCCACCTCTCCTTTTTTTTTAATTCCCCCGAATTAAAAAAAAAAAAAGAAATCGTAATCTCCCCTAGCAGGTTAGATTGTTATTATTAGTATTTTTTCCCGTCAAATATTAAAATGAATGTTTTTGAAACGCCATCTTTTCAAGCGCACCTGCATCGATTTAAAGCGTTTTAAAACAAGGTGGCTAGCAGGTAAACTTCCTGTCCCGACCCCTCCCCTCCCCCTCCCCCCCCCCCCCCCCGCTCACATGGAGGAAAGAAAAACAGGACGGCTGGAACTTCCGGTTGGTGGAAGCTTATGACAATCATGCGGCATACGGCATACATACAGCATACAAGCATACGGCATACATACATCACACGATTATACAGTATGCAAGCATACAAGCATACATACATCACACGATTATACAGCATGCAAGCATATTGCTCATATACACCACAATTATACAGCATACAAGCATACGACATACATACATCACACGATTACACATCACACCAGCATACGGCATACAAGCGTACGGCATATACATCACACAATTATGCAGCATACAAGCATACGACATACATCACATGATTATACATCACACAAGCATACGGCATACAAACATCACACAAGCATAAAGTACACAAGCATACGGTATATATAAATCACACGATTATACAGCATACAAGCATACGGCATACACACAATCATACAAGCATACATATATCACCTAATTATATAGCATACAAACATCACACAATGATACATCACACAAGCATACGTCATACATACCAGACACATCTACACAGCATACATACATCACATAATTATATAGCATACAAGCATATATGCATCACACAGTTTTACAGCACACATAAATATAAATGCATCAAATATTTATACAGCATATATGCATCATACATACAGCAATTACGCTGCATATGCTTACAGCATACATCGATCAAACCTCCTATACACAGCACATACAATACACAATGCCTACAACGCCGATGTTATTTTGTTACTTATTTAACTTTTTTTTTTCTAAAATTTCATCTCGTTATTTCAACAACTCGTATCACAATTTGGTGGTTATGTTTTTCATGTAACATTAGTTAAAACTTTGGTATAGCTGTGTAACAACTGATCAGTTCGAATTATTGTTTTTTTTTTTGGGAAAACATCAACAGTGGGTCTAATATGACTTGTGAATGCTTACTTCGCCGATTGCCAGGTATTTGGAAAGAGTGAAGAAAGTCGGACTATTTTCTTAAAATGTGCATAATTTATTTGGATTCAATATTTTATAATCATCTCTTTAGCTTTGGGAGTAGAAGGAGTGGGGGGGGGTAGGGTGGAGGGGGGTAGATTCAGAAAACATATGCCACTTCTTGCAGCAAATTTAATGAGTCTGATTTTAGTGCTATCAAAACACCAGACTTATTTTTGTTTTGCTTTCTAAGCATGTGGCCCACAAGCCCACATCAGTTGCACATGTGGCCACTGCGGCCCACAAACTCACATCAGATGCACATCTGTCGACTATCGAGTTGTTAGAGTGACTCCTATTTTAGTCACAGATGTAATGAGCCAATCCGTAATTATCGCCAACTGAATAATTTATCTTATGGTATGTTTCATAATGCACATTATGAAAGTCATGGCAAGTTGAAGAATAGTCATTTTCCGGTGTGTTTCTTGCATTCGTTGGTGAATTTCAGATTTCATTTTGTTTAAAGTTCCATTTCGTATCAAGTTTTAATTCTGTTATCAGGTCCATTTTGTAAAAAAAGTGTTAACAAACTCTTGTTCAGTACATTTTTGTTTAATTTTAGTATTCGGCCTTGTAAACCTCAATTTGAAATTAGATGACAGTTTTATACTAAAAACCTTTGGTGACATTCGCGGTGCTAATACCGCTATGATCTTGTATACATGTACCTTCATTTATATATATATGGCCTATATATATATATATTATATATATATATATATATATATATATATATATATATATATATATATATATATATATATATATATATATATATATATATATATGCACATGATGTATATGCCGATGGCGTTTCCAGCCCCACGATTGTCACGCTGGAGACAAGGGCTTCTATATCTATGACGCTGGCGTCTGAGATCATCTCCATTCCGTCCTAAGCAAACACACGACGCATCACCCGCAAACCGCCGGCACTCGAGGCCATGTTTATATTCCATCACAGATTTGAGAGAGGAGTCTACAAGTATGATAACATGTCACAGAAAAACCAATAAACAGCGGCGCGGGGAGGGGGGGGGGATTTTTTTTTTAACAATATAATAAAAAAAATTGCAGATTTTTTTTTGTGCCACGTCCATGCCATCGCATGCAAGATTTCTTGAGAGTAAGAATAGCCGCGGCGCTCCGCAAGAGCTCACTCCCCAAGATCAACACTCTGGCGATAAAAAGCCAGGATGGGGGAAGAGACGACAAGTCCCCGGGCATGCTAGATCGCTTCTGTCACCAAGGATTGTTATGGCTCCAGAAGAACACCCCCCCCCCCCTAGTTTACTGAAGAGATGACGCGATCCCCCCCCCCCCCCCACCCAGAGATAGAGGCCATATCTCCTGAAGTTAAACCAAACATGCAGACCCAGACCCGTGTTTGGACAGGCGACCCGGGGGAAAATTTGTCCTGCCGGAAACGGAAGACACGTCCGCGATGAGAAATTGACGTCTGCTAGGCCGAAGGGGGGAAGGCGGGAAACATAATTCATAATTATTCGCGCCGTTTGTTGACCGATGCAGACGATGCCTTAAACCCCCGCGCTCGTCAG